AGGGGTCCAGGATTATCTTCTGTGTCTGTGTTAATTGGTTTCCCTTTTCTTTGTTGAAGAGGGTCTGTGCAGTCTTTCTGCCTAGTCCGCCATCTTGCCAGATCTCTTCTGAATTTTAGTATAATCTTATTACAGAAGAACGTGCCTATCACCAGGAGCACAGAAACCAAACTCATAGCCACCCAATTGTGTCACAGCGACCCCCACTGGGTTTTCCGAGGCCATGGAGTCAGGGGTACCATGGAGTCAGGAGAACCATTGAGGAAGGAGTACCACAGAGCCAGGAGAGCCACGGAGCCAAGAGTGCCACTGAGTCAGGAGAGCCATACAGCCAGGAGTACCGTGTAGTCAGGAGTATCATTGACCCCTGTGTGTTGGCCTTGCATCCTGACCTTGATAAATTCACTTCCTAATTCCAAATTTTTAGAGATTGTTTGGAATTTTCCACATAGACAATCATGTTGTCTGCAATTTATATAAAGACAATTTTACTTCTTTTACAAGAATGACTTTCATTGCTCTGATGGCATTGCCCAGAACTTCCAGTGCAACACTGAATAGTAGTGGTGGGGGCGGAAATCCTGCCATGGTCTTCATCTTAGGGCAATGGAGGCAGTCGGCCACCTTTAAGCTCAGTGTTAGCTGTCAGTTTTTCATGCCCTGTTTTAGGTTAAGGAGGTTTCCTTGTAGTCCCAGTTGGCTGGTTTTAATTGTTAACAGGTGCTGAGTTTTGTCAAATGCTTTTTCTGTATGTGTTATTATGATCGTCTGGTTTTCTTACTCTGTTCATCAGCATGGGGAGTTGTGTTGGTTGCTTCTGAATGCTGAGCCAGCCCTGCTCTCCTGGGATGAGCCCCATAGATTGTGATGTGTTTTCCTTCCATTCTGCTGAGTTCAGTTTGCTAACACTTTTGTATTTTCTCTGGTTCTGGTATCACACCAGCTTGGCTTCATAAAATGCAGTGATTATATGAATCTACACAGAACCCAAAAGCGTGTGGAACAAGTGAGGAACTGAGCGACGTGTGACGTCCTGCTGACTTCCTGGCCCTCATTCTGCTCTGTGATTATGGGGAAGGGGGTGTATACTACCTCTTTGTGCTATTTTTCAATCTAAAGTTATTTCCAAATGAAAAGCACTAATAATCGGCTTGTGATCATCACAAGAAGCCTCGCATGCGTTCCTGTTTCTCTTGCAGCAAACCTCTGAATTTTAGTATAATCTTATCACAGAAGAACATGCCTATCACCAAGAGCAGAGAAACCAAACTCACGGCCATCCAGTTGGGTCACAGCAACCCCTACTGGGTTTCCGAGGCTGGAAATCTTTATGGAAGTAGATTGCTCCATCTTCCTTCTACAGAGCAGCTGGTGGGCTTGAACCACTGACCTTCTGGTTAGCCGCCAAATGCCTTATCCACTATGCCACCAGAGCTCCTTGTTAGCAAGGGTATCACTATTGTTAAAAACATGTAAATAATATTGTGCCCACTTGAAGGGTCTGCATGAGCACTGTCACCTTCAGCAGCGGCCTGCCCTGGGGGACCAGTGACGGGGAGCATGCTGGTCATGAGATGGGCGCAGCTCACAGAACACTCCTGCTGCAATGGCAATGACCCTGGGCGCAAGGGCTGCAGGGTGCCCCTCCACCCCAACCACCTGCCCTCACCTGCTCACCCCTCCAGCAGACACTCATGCCATGTGGTGTGGGTGTGCCTCCTCCTGTCCTGAGGAGAATAAGGTGGGGAGGGGTGAGGGTACCACAGGGTTGTGGGGCTCAAGGGGCCTCAGTACAGCTGGAAGATGGCAGGCACCCAGGCGGTGGGTGGGGAGCTGAAGAGGGAGGGGCCTGAGACCCTGGGTAGCAGGTCCGGTGTGCCAGGGCCCTGCATGCTGCTTGAGCCCTCAGCAGACTAGGGCTAGAGCAGAAGAGGAGAGACAGACCGGACTGGAAGAACACGACCCTGAACGCAGAACATTCTCTTCACCTTCCATGGCTAACATGAGACAGGTGGAGCACTGCCTAACTGTGCCGTCAGTTCCTGACTCAGACCCGTCTCCCTCCAGTCAGAGGAAAAACCAGAAGACAGAGTGTCTATGTTCTCTCCTGCAGTAGGACCTCCCTCCAACGCTGCCCACGCCCAGACCACACCGAGCACAATCTTCCTGGCACTGCCAACACCCGAATGTCCGTGCTCTCAGAGGCGTTGCTGGTGGCTCAGGCGCCTCCTGAGTGGGGGCCCACAACCCTCTCGTGTGGCCATGTCGCCTCCCTCAGAGCAGGGGGCACTCCCGTGGTGCAGCCCGGGAGGCTGAGGGCACGCTCACCTGCTGCGGTGCCCTGCTGGAGGCTGCCCAGGATTTTTTCACCTAAGAGGTGGATCAGCCGGGTCACCACCTAGGAGAGAAAACAGGCCCCAAGCTGGGCGGCGTAGCCCAGGAAAGCCTGGATACTCCTGGGGTGCTCCCAGTGACAGACGCAGGGAGTAGACACTTGACCCACTTCTCAAAAAGGGCCGTGGGTCATGCTGGCCTGGAGCGGACAGGGAAGCAGGTCCACAAAGTGATTCCTCACTGCCAGGGGCAGTCAGTGGATGTGACCCCCCCACCCCATTCCACCTGTCCCAAAGCCCTTCTCTCTGTGTCCTCCACCCCTTTGAAACCACAAGCTGCTCCTCCAGACCACGTCTGCCACCCTTGCCCTGGCATGGACATGCTGCTCGCCTCAAGGTTGACACTGCCTGGCCAGCACCTTGCTTCTGAACAGCTAGGGCCACATGGTTACCTGGGGGTACTTGCGTTTAATGGACGTCAGGGCTCCCACAGGCAGCTTGGCCAGCTCCGAGTCCCGCACGGCGTGCACCGTGGTGGCCCTGGCCTGGTGAGTCAGCATCTCCACCTGGGAGAGAAGTCGAACAGCGTGGCTGCTCAGAACCTCGCCCAAAGGACAGCGGAGCCCTGGCCAAAGGTGCCGGCTGGCAGGAGCGACAGCCAAAGCAGGGGGAAATCAGGGCCCTGGGACTTGCTGGAAGTCAGTGGGCCCTGTGCTCCTCCCAGCAAGATGTGGACAAGAGGAGGGAATGCACCCTATCCCTTGGGCCAGGGCCCAAAGGCTGTCAGATGCCTGGCCACTCAGGGGGCCAGGAGCAGGGTGCAAGGGACAGGCCCTGGTGGGGTGGGCTCTCAGGGACCCTCCAACCAGGGAAGGGCCACAGAGGGTGTGCGGGCATTCTCCACTCCCCTTCCATGAGCCCCAACCTCAGTAAGTAATGGCCTTCCTAACGAGCCTTCCAACGGAGGCCTAGTCACCAATGGGTAGGGGCAGGGGTGCAAGACGAAGTGCCACACCGCCTGGGGGAGGCAGCTCTTCTACTGGGAGAGATGCCAGGGTGTCTCTCAGGGTCTCACTCAGGCCCACAGACAGCAACTGTCCACATGCTGGGGGTGGAGTCCACCTTTGCTTGGGGACACAGACACAGTGACAGAGGCCCCAGCCCTGGAACCTGCCCTCCCACACACACACTCCCTGGCCAGCCACACCCCCTGAAGACTTCTGCAGTGGACTCCTTTGCTCTTCCTGCCACCAATGCTTTGCTCAGTCTGGGAGTAAGCAAACCACCCAAAATTTAGGCTCTCAGAGCCCGGGCCACCCAACACATACCCCTAGCTGGCTTTAGGGGTGCAGATATCAAGGTCAGAAGTCAGAGCAGAGCTGCACCCCGGGGTTCATGCTTCCCAAGCACTTCCCTAAAGATGGCCCTTCCCACACCCAAGTGACCGCAGCATGGACGTGAGGGGGGCTCTGCCTGCGCCCCATGGAGTCTCACCACTCCAATGAGGTCTCCCCGGCCATACTCGCCCACCAAGCGCTTTTTCCCATCTTCCTTCCGGATGACCGAGCGCAGCCTGCCGCTGAGGACGATGTAGGTACAGTCCGACTTGTCTCCCTGCCTGGGGGGCAGACAGAGTCACTGAAGGGCAGAGGGAGGCCCCGGCCCCAAGACCCTTCCAGCCTTCTAGTCCCCCTCCTGAGTCTGAGCACCTCTCACCCTTCTGATCTCATCACACCCAGATTTCACTTGTGTTCTTCCCTCAGCCTCTGCCACCTGTCCCTCACGGGCTGTAAGGCCAGGAAGGAGCCTTGGTTTCAAAGGGGTGGGGGACACAGAGAGAAGGGCTTTGGGACAGGTGGACCAGGCCTGAGGTGTTGATGATGAGAAAATGAGCTCATCCCACCTCAGGATATATTGTGGAGACTCTGCCCTTGAGATCAAAAGAGCCCAGCCCATCACCTACCACCCACCACAGTACCGACTAAGGGGCTCGGGTGGCAAGCGGGTGAGGAATGTGGCTGCTGAGCAGCGGTGTGCCTGACCAAGCCATGGCATATGCATGCAAAAGGCTGGACAATACAGACTGAAGAATTACTGATGCACTTGAGTTATGTGTTGGCAAAGAATACTGAATATACTGGGGACTGCTAGAACAAGTCTCTCTTGGAAAAAGTGCAGACAGAAGGCTTCTTAGAAACGAGGGTGGCAAGACTTGATCTCACATGCTTTGGGCATATGACCTAGAGGGACTGCTCCCTGGAGAAGGACATTGTGAGTTGGGGCTGTGTGTCAACTTGGCTGGACCACAATTCTGAGTGGTTTAAGCACTTTTGATGTGGTTATTCCCATGATGAAATCTGACGTATACGCTTTGAGCAGCCAATCCATTGAAAGGGAGTTTCCCTAAGGGTGTGGCCTGCTTCCAATATACATGGACATCCCAGGAAAATTAGAGACTCTTCTGTGGATCTGGATCCTGTTGTGCTGCCTACAGCTGTCCGTGAGCCCACAGTCCACCATTCTGCCTGGTGATCTTGGATTCGTCATCCGCCGGAGACAACAGCCAGTATAGTGCCTGCCAACCTTGAGTTCGTCAGCCCCTGCAGCTGTGTGAGTTGGGAAAAGCCTGTAGCTTGATGTTTGATCCAGGAACTTTGGACTTGCCAGCCTCTATAACTGTGAGCCATTTTCCTAAGATAAATTTCTCTTTCTACTAACTTAGCTTTTCTAGAGAACCTGGCCCAACACAGACATCATGCTCAGTAAAGTACAGGGTCAGTCAGAGAAAAAGAAGACCTTCAATGACATGAACTAACATAGTGACTACAACAATGGGGTCAAACGCAGCATTGCCTATGAGGATGGCTGAGGACTGGGCAGTATTTTGTTCTGTTGTACATGGGGTTATGAGTCAAGTTGGAACAGACTCAACATCATCTAACAATAACAGTTAAAACAGAGGGAGAGAGAGCCATCTCAGAGAAGGAGAGGAATAAGGAGTAAGAAGCAAGGTCTCTGTTCACCTAAGAGTTTCTGGAAGAAAGCAGTGCTATCAAAAACACCAAATACTGTGGAGAACTGATGAAGTTAACATCCCGCAAAATTTTAATGTCCCGACTTCAACAAAAAGTCACAAGACAAAGAAAATGGAAACAATGGTACATCCAAGATGAAGGGATAGGAATTTTATTTATGGAAGCCTAAATACATGTGGACCTCGCCAGATGGAATACACAGGAATCAAAGCAACTACATCTGTGGAAAGAGATGATGGAGAAGGTCAATATCATCAGTCAGAACAAGGCCAGGGGCCAACTGTGGAACAGACCATCAACTGCTCATGTGCAAGTTCAAGTTGAAACTGAAAAAAAATTGAAACAAGTCCATGAGAACCAAAAGACAACTTTGAGTGTATCCCACCTGAATTTAGAGACCGTCTGAAGAAAAATTTGATGCACTGAACACCAGTGACCAAAGACCCAACGAACTGAAGAACAACATCAAGGACATCAGACATAAAGAAAGCAAAAGGTCATCAAAAAGATGGAAAAGGAAGAAAAGACCAAAACAGGGGTGAGAAGAGACTCTGAAACTTGCTTTTGAGTGGGGAGTAGCAGAAGTAAGCGGAAGCAATGATGGTGTAAGTGAGCTGAACAGAAGATTTCAAAGAGCAGCTTGAGATGACAGAGGGAACAGTGAAATGTGCAAAGACTTGGAGAGAGAAAATCAACAGGGAAGATATGCTTGGCAATTCTCAAGCTGAAAGAACTGAGGAAAAAGCCTCAAGTTGAGATACTGAAGGATTCTATGAGGAAAATATCGAATGACGCAGGAAGCATTAAAGAAGATGGAAGGAATACAGAGTCACTGGACCAAAAAGTATTGGTCAACATTCAACCATTTCAAGAGGTAGCATATGATTAAGAACCAATGGTATTGAAGGAAGAAGTCCAAGCCGCACTGAAGGCACTAGCCAAACAAGGCCCTGGGAACTGACAAAATACCCATTGAGACGTTTCAACAGATGGATGCAACACTGGAGGTGCTCACTTGTGTATGCTAAGAAATCTGGAAGACCAACTGACCTGGCCAATTGACCAGAAAAGAACCATATGTGACCATTCTAAAGAAAGATGATCCAACAGAATGTGGAAATTATCAAACAATATCATCAATATCACACACAAGTAAAATCTTGCTGAAGATAATTCAAAGACGGTTGTAGCAGTATACTGACAGGGAACTGCCAGAAATTCAAGCTGGATTCTAAAGAGGACACTGAACAAGGGATATCATTGCTGATGTCAGATGGATCTTGGCTGAAACCAAAGAATACCAGAGAGATATTCACCTGTTTCACTGACTATGTGAAGGCATTTGACTGTGTGGGTCACAAGAAATTATGATAACATTGCAAAGAATGGGAATTCCAGAATACTTAATTGTGCTCATAGGAACCTGTACATAAACCAAGAGGCCATTGTTCAAACAGAACAAGGGGATACTACATGGTTTAAAATCAGAAAGGGAGTGTGTCAGAGTTGTATTCTTTCACCATACTTATTCAATCCGTATGCTGAACAAATAATTCAAGAAGATGGACTATATGAAGAAGAACACTGCATCAGGATAGGAGGAAGACTCATTAACAACCTGTGATATGCAGACGACATAACCTTGCTTGTTGAAAGTGAAGATAACTTGAAGCACTTACTGATGAAGATTAAAAACTACAGTCCGCAGTATGGATTACACCTCAACATAAAGAAAACGAAAATCCTCACAACTAGACCAATAAGTAACATCGTGATAAATGGAGAAAAGATTGCAATTGTTAAGGACTTAATTTTACTTAGATCCACAATCAACACCCATGGAAGTGTCAAGAAATCCAAAGACATATTGTACTGGGTCAATCTGTTGCAAATAACTCTTTAAAGTTTAAGAGCAAAGACGTCACTTTGAAGCCTAAGGTGCGGCTAACCCAAGCCATGGTATTTTCAATTGCCTCATTGGCATGTGAGAGCTGGACAATGACTAAGGAAGACTGTAGAATTGATGTATTTGACTTGTGGTATTTGGAAAGAATACTGAACGTACCATGGACTGTTAGAAGAACGATCAAATGTCTTGGGGGAAATACGGCCAGAATGTTCCTTCGAAGTGAGAATGGCCTGACCTCACTTCACCTACTGTGGCTAAGTTGTCAGAGGGGACCAGCCCCTTGAGAAGGGTATCACGTTAGGTAAAGCAGAGGGCTGGCGAAAACGGGAAAAGCCCTCAAGCAGACGGCTGTGACGACGGGCTTAAGCAAAGCAACTGTGAGGACAGTCCAGGAGAGGGTAGGGTTTCTGTCTGCAGTGCAGAGGGTCTACGACTGGGGACCAACTCAAGGGCACCTAACAACAGCAAACACTGAATAAAGTGGAAGAATACAAGGCAAACTACTGTTGTTGTTATTATTGGGTGCCCCTGAGTCCGTTCTGACCCATGGGTTGCCTGGGACCGTGGCAGCTTTGTGGGGCTGGGGAGCAGCAGGCTTTCCCCACATGGACTTCCAGGGAGACCAGTCATGGTGTCAGAGTCTGAGCTAGGGGCTGTTCCCTGTGCTCAGGCAGGCCGTGTGTCATCTGCAGGAGCCAGGAGCCATGGTACCCAAAGGAGGAAAGACAGAAACTGTGGGAGAAGTGGTGTTCGTACCTGTGAGACTTGTCATTGACTTGGGCCCACCTGCAGGTTCTCGGACTCCATCCGGTTCAGAATCCCTCAGGGCCAAGCAAAGATTTCTTGGTGTAGGTGCAGGGAGGGCCCAGACCTAGACCTGATCATGCCTCTATCTTCCCAGAATTCTCTGTCATCATTTAATTCTTCTTCTGGATATTCCTCAAGACTTTTATGAAGAGAGCTAGCTCCCCAGTGAGCTGTCTCCTCCTGGCAGAGGGGTGGTTTGCTCATTTTGGTCTGGGAGGAGCATGAGAGAGAGAACGGCCAGATGACTGCAGGCTTCTTACCAGATGAGGGCATGGTGCTGCGTGCTCAGACAGGGACACCCCTGCTCACTGTCCACTCAGCACTGAATTGAGGAGCACGAGCCACACGTCTGAGGAGGTGAGGGTGGCAGTGCTGGTGAAGAGCAGCCTCCCAGCAGTAGGTGCAAAGACCCTGCAGCAGGAACACTCCAGGAGGGACTGACAATTAGATCCACGTGGCCCAGGGAGGTCAGAGTTGGGGACCAGCCCCCTGTGCTACGTGGACATGAGGGGCCTGGATGCCCAGTGGAGTAAGACAGCAGGCAGCAGGCCACAGGCCACACACACTTGGACAGGCACCCGAGACAAGGCTGGGCTGGAGTGATGGGTCTGGAATTCAGCCTAGGCAGGGCAGTCCAGCGATGGGTCTGTTATGGACTGGGATGCTATGAGTTGGACAACTTGCCGGCACCTAACACATGTGATGTGATGCCATCTGGGAGCTGGGTTTTCTCTGTTATGTCAAGGAGCCACGGCAGCACAGGCTGAGTCTATAGCCAGTCACTTTGGAAGTTACAACAGGAGCAGATTAGGCCGAGACAAGAAAGCACAGAGGCAGACAGATGTCATGCGGTCACCAGGGAACAGAAGCTAAGAAGAAACAAGACCTCCCACAGGGCTGACCTACAGAGAAAACAGCCCCTCCGAACTCCAGCTTCTAGTCTCCATGAGAAAGTAACTTTCTGTTCCCTAAAGCACCCACTGGTGGTACTTCCAAGTCACAGAGGAAGCTAGGGCAGCGTCCCAGAGCATAGCTTCCAGCTCTGTGGGGTCCTGGGGCTTCTGTGCTCCCCTCCCAATGCATCTGAGGACAAAGGATACAGGGGAGCTGGCCCAGAGCCAGGACCAGGTGACAGAAACAAAGGTCATCCAGATTTCAGGGCAACCAGGTGTCCCAGCCAGGCCTGTGGTAGGCCTGACCTGGGGAACTCATGCCCAGCCTGGGCCTCCCCTTTGTCCTGCACACCCGTGGGCCTCACCTGTAGATTGCACGCCCGGCTTCCACCTCCATCCAGTCCAGCGCAAAATCGATCTGCCTCACGAAGGAAGACATGCGCTTCACGACTGTGTGAGCAACACCCAAGACGACGGACGGCTGCTGTCGCATGATCCTGCCAGGGAGGCCCGGGGAGAGTTGTTCCAGGCGCCCGCCACCTGCCCTGTCCTACCAGGACCTTCTTCACTTCAGAGGCACTGCCGAGATGGGGTGAGACCACAGCCTCTACGGCCCGCACGTTCTGAGCGGCGCTGAGCCCCGATGTCCCCATTTGTAAAGCACACACCATGATGCCTACTTGCCGGTGACACAGGAACTGGACAAGGTCCAGGCAGAGCATACAGTGGCCAGCCCCTGCTCCCTGATGCCCCTGCCCTGGTGTGACACTGCCCGCTGTGTGTGCATGGCTGTTGGCTCTCAAGACTTTGGGGCTCCTTCCCACAAATACTGCCCCCAGCACAAGCTGCATGATGCCCCACCCACTCATACAGGCTCTCTTTGCAGGTGAATGATAACATGCACATCACCTGGAGAGACAGAAACTACAGCCTGATGAGGGCGGAGGGACATGAGGAGCGTGGCTGAGACCATGGGGGGGGGGCAACTGATGTGAGGAGCGTATCTGAGATCACAGGGAGGGACAGAGGGACATGAGCAGCTCTGAGACCACAGGAAAAGACAGAGGGACGTGAGGAGCCTGAGACCACAGGGGGTGGTGGTGAGGAACATGAGGAGCATGGCCGAGACCATGGGGGGGGGGCAACTGATGTGAGGAGCGTATCTGAGATCACAGGGAGGGACAGAGGGACGTGAGGAGCGCTGCTGAGACCACACTGTAGGCTGTGGGCTAGGAAGCGTGAGCAGCAGAGACTCCTGGGGGCTCCAGTGGGCAGCAGGTACAGGACCATCACATAGGCCTGAGGGGGTGCTGGTGGCCGGGGGCACCAGCTGACTCATGTCACAGCCCTGCTGGATGCTCGGGGCCAACAGAAACCTAGGCCAAGGGCAGGGGTGGGAGGGACACTCAGCTGGCAGGCTGCTGTCGGACAGGGTGTGGGGAGAGGCTGAGGGGATGCTGGGCCAAGGCCATGGAAAGCAGCATCACAGCTGAGGTGAGGGGGAACCGGGCGAACCTGCAGATGAGCTGAGTGTCAGACACCCCTGGGAAAGGGCCTGGACTCAGGAGAGACAGCACCAGGAGACAAGGATTTGGTGCTTCTGGCTGCAGAACAAGAGGGGCTCCCCGAGGACACCACATGGGAGCTGCAGCACTGGGGGACTGTCATGCCTGCCCTGCACACAGGGACGGAGCAGACGAGCAGAACAAGGGCCCGGGTGTGAAGGTTAAAGGGGCCAGGTCATCGTGTCTACAGCATGCCCCTCACCCTTGCTCTCGTGGCCTGGAAGGGGCAAGAAGGCCACCGCCGAGAGAGGGGCAAATCCCAGGAAGCAATCTCAGGCCAGAGCAGGGGGATCCAGGGGGAGGTATCAGCCAGACTCCCCACTGCTTCGCCAAAGTCATGAGGGGATGAGGGTTAGGGATAGTCCTTAGTCTGTTAGTTCTTGGGGACCACCAAGGAGGGATGGGCTCTGTGCACAGTGACCCTCCTGACCACAGGGCCCCTGGGGACAGCAAGTGACAAAGTCTGAGCCCCCAGCTGGGCAGGCCTCCCCCTGGGACACAACTAGGGCCACGACTGGGGTTGGGGTGGCAGGACTCACAGCCCAACATCCCCAGAAGATTGTAAGTCAAGATTCCCCCAGGCCCCCACGAGTGGCACTGACTTCTGGTCTCTGTCCAGTGGGTGGCTGTAAGTGCTCCACCATGCACCACTAGCCACCAGACCCCACTCCACTCCCCGAGATCCAAGAACAAGATCAATTTTCAAATCTTGGCCCCACTGTCCTTGCCTCTCTACTCCAGGACTCTGTCCCCTACATGTGAACACCACCCACCGTCCTTGCCTCCCTACTGTGGGACTCTGTTCCTTACAGTGTGAGCCCAAGCCTACCGGCAGACACCCCTCTGGTACCTGGTGCAGACTGCAGCACCAAGCAGGACCCTGATACCCCTGGTCCCTGGTGGGGACCCACAGGAGTCCACAAAACAGGGCTCTCCCACTGTCCCCACAAGCCTTGAAGCAACTTGACAAGACAAGCAGCATGGTGCCCCAACACCCAATGCTCCATTTGCCCTCAGTGGGGCCTGGGCCAGAGAGGCGCACAGAGCGGCATCCTGCCTGCTCCAAAGCACTGGGAGGGGGGCGGGTGCAGGGAGCCAAACTGCAGAGGGATGGACACGGAAAAGTCCTGCAGCAGAGACTTGGGAAATGCCACAGGAGCAGTGGCAGGCCTGAGGCTGTGCTAGGCCCTCAGGCAGAGAAACCAGGGTCTCTACAGGTGGGGGGCTGAGCACAGGAGCCACAGATGTCCTCTGGGAGCCTACACTGTGATGATTCCCCAGCACCACCCAGTGACCCTGGGGACTTGAGTGGCCTTAGGATCAAACTGCAAAGAATAAGCCAGGCGAGAGAGTGAAGAAACAAGGCAACAGCATTGACTGTCCACCCAACCATCGACTCAGCCTGCCGCCCATGCACACACACATACTTTAACATAGGTACACAAATACATGTGCACACACATTCATGCGTCACTCGTGGGCACACACGCTTCCATACATAAACACACATCCCCACATGCAGGCCACCACACACACACGTCATCACACGCACAGCCACGCACACCATCAGTGTACCAACACACATGCCTGTGAACACACGTGCTAGTATGCATGTGCAAACGCACATGCCTGCACCATCACCCACACACCACTGTGCACGTGCACGGCCCGGGGCGAGGCTCACTCATAGAAGTGTGCCTTGGAGATAGACAGGAAGCAGCAGTCTCTGTTGGCCTTGATGGTGAAGATTAGGGGCTCGCCCGTGAGCACAGCCAGCTGGCCCACCATCTCCCCGGGGTGTGTGATGAACAGGCAGGTGTCCTCCTCACTGTCGATCTCACGCTGGTACACGTGGAGCAGCCCCGAGACCACGAAGAGGATGTTAACGTCCTGAGTAGACAAGGGGGCGTGAGCTCACAGCAGCAGTCACCACCCCTCGTCAACCTGTCTACACCCTGCAGTCCATCCATGGCCTGGCCTGGCTGTCTGCTTGTCACCCTCAGGCAGGTCTGAAGCCCCAGCACTGAGGCAGCTGAGCTGATGCTAAGGAGGGTGGGCAAAGACCAGCCACACATCCTGCCCAGCACCCTCTGAGGCCCCATGGGCAGCGATGGTACCCCCTTTGTCCCTTAGGAACAGCCCTTGTGCCCCAGCTTCCCCAGCTCTGCCGCTCCGAGGCTCTGAGGGTCCTGCCTCTTTGCCAAGCAGCACCAACACAGGAAGAGCCTTACCCCCAAGCTTCCTGCTACCCCTCAATGTGTCCAGCTCACGTCCTCAGGATGTACCCCTGCCATGGCCCATGTTACCCTGGCCCCTCTCGCCTACCTGCAGCATCACCCTGTCGAGGCAGCTGGCTCTGCCCTGCTACCAGACCCACCATGTGACACCCTGCTCCTTGCTGCAGAGCACTGGCCCCAAAGGCACTCATCTAAGCCACCTGTTTCCTGACTTGCCCCAACCAGGTGAGCCAGGTAGAGGAAGGGTTTGGTTGGCAGGCATCCCCAACCCCGGAGAGAGCCTTCCAGCCCGGCCACTCAGGAACCCAACCTCAGGAACGTTCTAGCAGACATGACTGAGGCCATTCAAACCAGTGCTGCCAGTCTCCCACATCTCCACACTCCCTCTTCTCCTGCCTGACCCCACCACCTCATCCCCTTGCAGCCCCCAGTGAGCTAAGCCCGGCACCGGTGGCACACAGCCCACAGGCCTCTGCTCTCATGCTGCCGTGTCACACACCCACATGTCACACACCATGGAATAAATCACGACCCAGCAGGAGGGGCTTAAGGTTCCCAGTCAGAACCCACACCTCTACACCATCAACTCACACCAGGAGGCCTGTTATTAGCAAGAGAATGCTAGAAAAAACTTTTTACAAGACCCTGTAACACTGTACACCCAGGCCAGCTGACCTAATCCAGCAATGTCCCAGGGCACCTCAGAAGCACCTAGGAACATCTTAGGAGCAACCCACGAACACCTTGGAGTTGTTTGAAGATCTGTCAGAGGCAAAGGAAGCTGGACACCGAAAACTTAGGAATCTTAAGGAGACGATTCGACGGTCTCAGTAAATTCACCAAATTGTGCACTCATCTCCAATCTAGCCTTAGAACATTCCCATCAGCCAAAATGACCCTTGGGCACGCCTCAGCCAGTCCCATCCTCTGTGCTGTGATCACCGTCCACTTCCTGTGTCTGCAGACTTGCCTCCTCTGGGCGCTTGGCATCCACGAAGGGTCATCCAGGCTGTGACACTGTGGGCTGAGCCATGTTCCATCTCGTGGACCACCGCCTCTATGCCCTGGCTGCTGGCGGACACCGTTCCACCACGTGGACCACCGCCTCTATGCCCTGGCTGCTGGCGGACACCGTTC